TGCCTTTGACCAATATAATAGAGTTGACCAAAGACAACAAACCTCTTTCACCCCAACGGCTACAACACATGGATTGTACATAGATAGTAATCAAACTAACCTTCACAGTCGCCTATGATGCTTTCCATTCCAGTCATTTATACGCATCTGTACATTGAGGTTCCTACGTAGAGAAGTTGCAGTATACATGTTATAACTCTTTACAAAACACACAAGCAATTTACAAACACTATACAAGATTTTTCTCTTCGCAAAACACAAAAGGACGTCCCACATAAGAAATATAAACAGAAACTAGTAAGGAACTACTAAGCATTCTCAAACTATAGTTTCAATCACAATAACAAATTAGTGAGGAAACAAATAAAATCAGCAGGACAGTTGGTGCAAAAGCAAATATCTTTATACAATCAATAAAATCAAATTATGAGTTATAACAAGAAAAGCTAGTTGTTTTTACAATAACGAACAAACAAAATCTGTGAAGTGATAACTTCTAAACCAGCCACTAATTATAACTTTGATTAGAAAAAGTACAAAAAATAACAACTTTGATTATTTCATAAGCATAACATTAGACTTGATATTCACTTTAGACTTGAAATTGATTAAAACTCATATTATAATGAGGCACAAATGAGATACGATGCATTGACCTTCACCAAATCTGACCAAAGTATGACACATTACAACTATGACCTTCACCAAAACAAGGTTATATCATTGGAATCTGAAATAAAGACAAGAAAAGTTCACTTAAATTTTAGATACTCACCATAAACTGCCATTGTGCTTTTGCGGATGGAGATAAGGCATGTTTTGTCGCTCTGGTGCACTCATCACTGCTGCTATGCCTAGAAGTGCTGGAATTGGCTGACCTTATTGCTCCGCGAGGAAAGCGAGCGTGCCGAGTCCGGACAGTTCTCTGAGATTCATCTGCAAAAGACAACAAGAGATTGAAAATTACCAACTTGCAAATCAAATTCTAAAACAATATCAAACACCAAACAAATCACTTTTGTCATAGTCAAAACACCAAACACATCACTTTTTCACAAGATATCTTGTGAACGCACGATAGATAGAAAAAAACCTAAGATAAGGCTAGGGTTTGAGAGCTATGGTAAAGGTAGGGTTTGAGCCTACGATAGATGAAACAAATTAACAGAGGCCTTCAATAAAACTCCCAAAGATACAGCCGAATACAAACCCCTAAACAAATTAACTCCAAAAACTCCACCAACAAACGAAACATGGCCTTAGGGTTTCCAAAAAAAGATGAAATCGTTTAACAGAGGAAAAAACATTTTCGATTTGCAAGGAGCAATGAATCTTTACCGTAATCGGCTGATGAGAAAACCGCAG